TGCGAGTTAGCGGATAAGAGCATCAAACAAGTTTTCATCAATTTCCGCCTCGACAATCCCCTTCTCTATAACTGGACCAAGTAAAACAAACTCGGTTAAACGTCTCAGTCTAATATTCTGAATTGCAGATGTCATATACCCGAACCAAGCAGTATGAAAGAAGAACATACAATGAAATATAGAGATGCCAAAGAAGAACAAAGGCGGAAAGTTAAGGACCAGAGGAAAGCGAAGAGAGAGTCCAAGAAAATTGTTTACTAATTCTATGATTTGACTATTTAAATTAAATAATAAAATTAATAAACTACACTGTTTTCAATGCAACCGCTTAGCAAGTCTGGATAAATATGAAATGAACCCTTGCTATCTGTTTCACGTTTTTCCACGTAAGGCGCTAGTCGTATGCTAAATTTACCGAGGAGGCCCCATGATATAACTCTCGGGCATTATCAGAGCTTTGATTCAAAAAAAACCGGAGGATAAATGTGTTTGTATTCAAAACTATATTGAATGAATAGCTACTATAAAAAGCAATGAAATCGTCCGAATGGCAAAGTTAAATTGGACTGTATACTTTAAATTAATTGATGAGGGAGAATGGGATAGTGAAACTAACAGAAAATCAAAAACAAACTGGTATATGCGGACAAGGCTTTATATTATATTTTTGTAATGAAATCAACAATAACCAGAAGAATATATATGAGGGATGTTTTCTGTCTAACCACCGTTCACTCTCAGACTGTTATACAGCATAGTAGTTATGATAATTATGAGAATATTTGCAAAAAAAACACTGAAGAACTAGAGAATAGAGAGAGAGAGAGATGGATAGAAGTCAAAGCATTAGTTGAGACAAGAGTTAAAGCTGAGAGTTGATGCAATAGATTTTTCGTCAATGTCTTCTTCTTCCGAAGCTATTGTTCAGACGCCCAATGGGCGAATGTTTATCGGGAAAAGAAAGGAAACAAAATCCTTAAACCAGATACAATGCTAAATAATATTATATAATGTTATATATAGTTAAAGTTTCATTTCCTATCGCAAAAATAAGATAAAAGTAAAATAGAAAAAAGAAAAGAAGAATGGAAGGCATAGAATGAGCGGTTTCTTAAGAAAAAAAACTTAATATTAAAGAAGAAAACGAGCACTCGTGCAAACAAGTGGGTTTACAAAAACACCAAAGGTTCGTTTTATCATAACACATTGACATAAGAATTAAACATCACTAGCAAGTTCCAAGTTTCAATTTTCTCAATCAAATGCCACCGACAGCTAATCATCGCAAAGTAGGAACAGATGAGTTGTGGTCCAAGGCTTAAAGTGTTTTCAAAAACAATCTCAGATTGAGAAGAAGCTTAAATCCTTTTTGTAAACTTCCTTCGATGGTATGCGGTAGAGAATAATGTTTTCGTTGAAATTGAAAAAGTAGGACTGGGTCATCCGAAAGACTAAGATCGAAACTCAAATTAACTATCTCTCAAAAATAGAGAAACTGTTCTACTACACTCATATTAGTTACAATTTAATCAAACGGAATGGTATATAGAAAGCTGAATAAACAAAAACTTATACTCAAAATTGAAATTTTGAGAAGATTTTATTCCTCTATAGCAGTTGTTCCAACTGATTTTCAAGCCAAGTGAGACGAATTGTGCCCCCATGGACTACTTTTACACAATTAAAACACAGCCAACGGAGCAGCAAAGAAGAAAAGATAGAAAAATTCAGAATGAGGTGCTGGATGAGCTAACGATCAAAGCATTCTATTCAAGCTTTAAGTTCTTTCTCATTATGTTAGAATGTTTCTAAAATCAATAAAAAGTTGCTCAGAAAGAGAAAAAAACATTAAAAAAGAAGAGAGAAAAAACAAGTATGATTGGCATTTGATATAACCCCAGGGAGCATTGATGCGGAAAAATTTACTGGCTCAATACCAACTATGAAAAGATCAAAGGCTTGTGTCTATCGTCATTCATGCTTTGAAAAAGCTTTTAAGTTTTAAAAGAATACCTGAAGGCATTTCTCTAAACATAGATGGAGAGAAAAATGTTGGAACCCATCCAAGATTTTCATATAGCTCGTTTATAGGTGAATATTCTTCCACAGATGCCTGAAAATAAAACATCCAATGATAGGATTGGGCAACTAGTAAATACTTTTTCTTTTTGTTTTTTCCTATTTTCACAATTCTCCATCCATAAAGCGGACCTAAACAATGATAGTAAACAGCTTTTGCTTGTTTTTACCAAAGATAATCCATTCTGGGATTTTTAAAAGTCATCATATTGTGTTCTTCTTCATATGGTTTTGGGTTGGGTAAATGTTTCTGCAGTATTTTGAGAATGATGATCTAGAAACAGAAGAATAACATACCTTTCTTTTGGTTGGTTCTTGTTTCTTGAGGAAAGACGAAATCCTGACATAATTGCTCATGTTTTTCAATAAAAGAAGAATAACCAGTGGATAACTTTGTATGTAAAACTCCTTTCCAAATATGGAACGATTACAAACTTAGATACAGATATCCGTTCACTCCCGATCCCTACTCGCTAGTTATATCTATGGCTTTTAAAAACAAATATAAGATGTTCAACATTCCAATGACTTGCAAAGATTAAAAAGTCATATTTATTTCTTTTTTTGTTTCAATTTAAGGTTCAGATTGTTGCTATGCGACTGAGCGCCAAAACACGAGCGAAGTGAGCATGTTCAGTCTCTATATATCTGACATCATAACAACAGGGTGTTGTGCAATCCGAAAGGAATCTTACAGCACTGAAAACAGTAGAAAGTGTTTGAAGATTGACGAGAATAATTTTCAGAATTTTAATTCGCATAATGTTTTTTTTATTAATTCGATGTATTAAACTGATGACTCATAGCGAACACATCGATCTCCTTCCAATTCTGACATCATCGATTGTGCAATCTTTCTTGCCGCAGCTAGTGAACACCCACCAGGTACATACATATAAGAACATATAAAAGCTACTTGAATTTTTCTTCTTCTCTGATTATATTATAAATCTTTATCCACATATTTCATTATTATTTTTGATTATCTGTAAATAGAATGTCGCCTTCAGACAACTACAAGGTATGATAGTAAGACTGTTCTTCTCATCTTTTCATCTTCTTGTTCAGAAGAAAATACCTGCTAGTACTCTCTATACATGTCCGGAAACGCATTACTTTATCTTGAAAGAGTACACAGATCTTTCATCTCTGCAAGATAGCCCGTTTTTTAAGTATAAAACACATTTACTTGACGCAGAAAACAGATTTGTGATTAGTTAGTTTCCATTTGAGTTCAGCGATGAACCCTCTTTGACTTTCAGAAGATAAAGAAACGCTCAAGGAAGCAAGAAGTCGTTTCTTCTTTTATCATCGTTATGACAAGACTATATATAGTATTTACCAGTAAGGTTGTAAGATTTTTTCTCAAATATGACTGAGAGTGTTTCAGATTACCTACCAAATATTTGAAACATTTTAATCAGATCTTCTATTTACGTGAAAACGCTTTCATAAATTGTGTTATTTTGATCATATCAGGAGGTGATTGTGCCGTAGGTTGCTATCATGGGTTAGTTTCCAAAACGATTTCGATGGAAGAACAAATAATTTGTAGAGGAGAGATGGTTGCCCACAGACGATTTCACAAAGACAAATCTAATTTCCGTGCCGACGATAATGTAAGAGGGAGTGGTGCAATGAACTTCAGGAGACACAACGCAAAAGAAATGAATTATGATATTAGATCACTCTTGAGTACATGGAATCATCTCCTCAAACAAGTCAAAGTCGTTTTCTATCAAGGAGTTACCGCTCAACATGATGGATTACTATCATACTTCGAAGATTTGAAGATTCCTGTTGAGTTCGTTCAATGGAGATTCATTTGCATATTACATCATTTCACTTTCAGAGAATTGCCTTTCCCAACAGTAGCTAAAACTCGTGGCCTTAAAAGCGCATACGATGAACTTTTCCAAGTCACATGTCACGGTACTGTTCCAGAGTTTTTCAAAGATCTCGGAGAGAATACTCTGTTTAAAGATGGAACATCATTGGTATATTTCATAAGATCAAATGATATTAATTCTTTTCATATATTTAGGACCCCACGAAATGTGCATTCGTTTCCTCCGTAAAG